ATGAAGCATTTCAATATCTTCTTGTCTCATGCGGCGGTTAACAAAGATGAGTTGCTTCAAATGGTGAGGTTTGGTGCTGAAATGGTCTTCAGTTCCAAGGATAGCATTATCACTTATGAAGACATTGATAGAATCATTGCTAAAGGAGGAGCTGCTTGAACTTAATTTAAACAAAGCATTTGCCAAGGTGGTCTGGCAAAACCAAAGGAGCCTCGAATTCCTCGCATGCCTCAATTTTGAAGTTAGATAAATAAGTAATGGGTTACTCCCCATGATTTAAACTACTCATGATCTCAACTTTGTAATCATTATAAGTTGAGTGATTAATTATCCAAAACATTTTGATAGAAACAAAAATGATTGTTATATTTTAGGTTTGTGAAAATATCTAATGTTTCTTCTTGTTTTTGTTCCACTTTTATTTCTTTAATGAATATTGTTTGGACCAATATGACTAAATATGACGAACGTATAGAACAAGCTAGAATATATTTCAAGCCATGAATATTATGCATAATAAATGATTGCTTCGAAACCTTCCAATCAATAACATGAAGGAACAAGCCTTGAATAAAAACTAATGAACAGTAATAAGTATATTGAACAACCTACATTTTACGTTGACTACCAAAACAAAAGAAATGGTACTTTAAAAATCGAGAGTGTTGGAGAGTTTCAAAAGGCCAAAAAATAGGAGGGAAAAAAAAAAGAAAAGAAAGGGAAAATGAAAAAAATAGTTTAGATTAACTAATTAAATAATGATACTTGTTAGTTTTTTAAATGTTAAATGTAAGTTTTAAAAATAAAATAAATAATTTATAAGTATGAATTATCTAATTTATAAGTATAGAAAAGTCATTTTTCTTAGGAAAAAAAGTTTTTAAAAAAATTATCAAATCTCGCCGCATGCATGATTCGGCTTTCGATCACTCTGCACCGGTGGAAACGCACTAACATTGGCATTGGGACTCCCAGCAACAGGACAGCTCACCTACTTTTTATTATTTTCTCTTGATATGCATCGTCCATTGTGAAAATCTAAATTCTATTTTTTGTGTCCTATGTGAAAGTATGTATATATTTTTATGAAATTTAAACATTTTATTTTTCGTGACATATTATACAACTTTCTTTTGCGTCCGGAAGCTGCCATTTGGAAATTCCATGGAAAGTCCATCAAGCTTTCTTTTGCACAAAGCAAGTGAAAATTTGTTAATTGACGTAGTCAAAATTTTTTGCGGCCTTTGTTGAAAATTTGTACTTTGTAACATTTTAATTATAAGTAGATTTTTTATTTTGTGGTTAATTAGCCGTGGTTCAATTCCTTGCCTTAATCCACTCGCATCAACTTTTTAGTTGTTATGAAATTTAAAGATTTTGATGTGATATTTGACAATCCGAAATGTTATACAACGGTGGAAGGTACAAAGTTGTTGGAAAAAACTTCGTATAAATCCAAACGGTCACTAAGTTGAAGGACAAGGTAAGACCGCACGGTGCACGCGCTTCCATACGTGGATTTCGACGATAGCGTTTTCGAGAGTTCTAAATTTCCTCCTTCTCTGTTAAACGTTTCCCTCATTATCCATTCACGGTGTTGGTAGCCATCTTTTCATGGAGGCTTCCTATTTTTTAAGTCATTTTTTAATACCACGTCATACGAAAGTCAAAACACTATAAAAGAACTCAGGAACCTGTACTATACATGCCCTGCCAAGTAACTAACCAGACCTGTTCATTACTTTTTCAACATCTTCCTGTTTAGTACTGCCTTCAATTCCCAGGAATCTTTGTCTTGGAACTGTTCATTTTTTGCCCGCATCTTGGTTTTGTCTCTTAAACATATTAAGTTTATGAATTGAGTTGGGAATGACTCGATTATTATTTTTATTATTTCCATTTTATTTTGTAAAAGATATATTTAGATATATAAAGTAAAAAAATATTTTTGAATAAATAAAAATTAAAAATTTATATTTATATTTATATACAATAAAATATATATGATTTTAACTTTACATATAACATTCATATTTAAATATATATACACCACATTTCACATTTTAATTATAGATACTTATTAACATATGATTGTATTTATACCTAAATATAATGACTTGCTAACATCTTGTTCAAAACGCAATTATAAAATGGATAAAAAATTTTATTCTTTTACCTTTCACTTTATGCTTTTATTAAATTTAATGGATCAGTATAAAAAAATTACAACAATTTTAGTATTTGTCTAACTCTAATAAAAAATCTAATTACTTAAAAAATGAAAAAAAAAAAAAAACAATGCCTAACCTTCTAATCCAAAATCTCAAGCCTTCATGCTGTCCATGCTTGCATTTATTCAACAGAATCTTGCCGTTGTTGTGCTTTGTCAAAACCATCTCCATTGGAATAGGAAGGTGACCAGGAATTTCCCTTTTTTTTTTTTTTTCTCACCTTCCCTCTAATAAATGCGAAGCCAACTTTTTCTTCCATGCCAATGTGTAATTCAATTTTGTAGCTCAAAAAAAATTTCGGATAATTCAATTTTCCAATACAAATAAATTTCTTTCTTCCATGCAAAAATTCCCTTATAATTTGGCCCACCAAAGATTTATTTAAGAAAAACCAGTGATCAATATGACAATATTGCCCCGGACACCTTATTAAGAACGTCATGGAACAGAATTCCCGCATTCTTTATGCATATAATAAATCTAAAGAGTTTTACCGTCTCAATGGGGCACCTGCCCTTGTCCCCACCTCGGTCCCTGCCCAACAAAGTGGAACATAATATAGTAGTTGAAGCAAATGACATATTTTTCATCTGCTTTTGGATGATAAAATTGATTAATTGAAGAAAAATATACCAACAATCCGCTTGTCATCTGTTATAGTGTTTGCAATGTTTTGATTATTTTATGGTTACTTGATATATTTGAATTTTTTCTCATACCAGGTTAATTTGAAATCTTTATTATCAAATGAAGTTTTTTTTTTTATTTTTTTCTTAAATAAGGTATTTAAGCCTCATCATCGTTGTATTACTACTTACATAGATAAAACTACTGCATTTTTGTTTGGGTTTTTGTTAAAATTTCCATCTTTATATGAAAATTTTAGGTTGCTTACGAAATAAAAAAAAAAAAAAATCTCATGGCTGTACAACGTGAACCCAGTGGTTCATTCCTAAGCCAGTTTGACCTGCTCATCTAAAGGAGTTTTCTGTACCATCACCGCTTGTTAATCAAATTATTTAGAAAAATACCTTATTTAGAAAAAAAAATTAAAAATACCCCTTTTTAGAATAAAGATTTTAATTTATCTTACTATGGGAAAAAAACTCGGATGTATTTTGTAATGGAATCTTTCTTCCAAGAATATTGCCAATGTCGTCTTATCACCAACACCGAGGTCGAACATTGGTGTGTTTTCACGAAGTCTACTGCCAAAGAATAAGCTGTTGAAATACTCTCTGTTTTCTTAGGAACAAAAAAAAAAGAAGCGGGTTTATGGAACAACGTCTTGGTTCACTTGGTCAACATATTCGTGGCAAATGAACTCAGACGAACAACAAATTCAAAACTACTATAAAGTCAGAGCCCCTTACTCCGATCAAAAACGTACCCTGCCATTATTCTTCTTTCTTCCTCTTCCTCCTGCCTATTTCCTTGTCCTCCTGCTTGTTATTTCGCTGGCTTACTCAACCCCTGTATCTTCCATTTCTTTAGATAGAAAACATTTGTGCTAGCTTAAACTAACAATGGAGTCAAATAAAAGCTCATCATCGTCATCATCATGGGGTGTTACCATCTCCGAAACCTTCAAGTTTAAAGGGAAAGGGGTAACTATGGCTATCCTTTTCCTAGCCATCTCTGCTCTTTTCATAACCGCAGTCATATATAAATGTTTCAGATCCCGTCCAAATGACGCTGAAGTCGGTATAGAACTAGCTGCTCAAAACTCTGATGTGCTCCCGCCAGGTACTCTGTTCTTTGTAACTTACTGTTAGTATCTTTACTTTCTTCTTATTTTGAATATATAGTCAAATATTTTTTAATAATGAATAAAAATAGCATGTTTATAAATACAATTGTAGTCGTTATATATATATATATATATATGATCCCGCACTGAAAATTTTATCTGGTTAAGCCACTGTTGAGAAAGGCAGGGGAATTGCATTAACGAAGCAGACACCGTACATAAGACCTTTTAGACAGGATTTTAGAGTAAAAATTAACAAGTTTCAGAGAGAGAGAGAGAGAGCAAAATTTGGAAGTATGAGCGGATCAAAGTAGCAGCCATGCTGGCGTGTTTGAATCTGCAGGGTATTACATTGACGACGCAATCATGGAAGAATAAGGCGAGGAGAGAAGCACATGTGTGGGTATCGTGATTGAGCTGCAAACTGAGTCCGTAGCTACAACTTTGATTCTTAGAATCGAAATAGGAAAACCACACAAGATTATTTTATACCAACAATCTGCTTTGTTCTGTTCTTGTGTTTGTAATATTTGATTATTTTGTGGTTACTTGATGTATTTTGCAATGGAGTTCTTACTTCTGAGAATACTGCTTTTTACAGTGTCTATTTTAATTCCCTCAATTTCAGGTTGTGACCAACAGCAGACATGATCGATCTGTATCACAAACACCACTGCTGAAGAATAAGCGGTTGAATTATATTAAAATGTGGCTTTTGGGATAATTGTTTGTTGTTGTTGTTGTTATTTTAACTCTTTGTTGTGTTGCAATTTTCATTTTTACTGAACTTTAGGTGTCTCCAGTATCCATGGAAAATTATTGTAATTCGGAATTGGAACTTTTTTTTTGGTTGAATTTCAATGTGTTTTGGGTTTGCTTTTTCCCACGTACATTATATACATTACCATATCATATATGAATGAAGTTTTTACTATGATTGGTGGATTAAGTTGATCTATCATGACATATGTGACACGTTTGAATTGAAATTTATGTTATGAGACTTGAGTTTGGAATAAAGGACCCTGAAATTCCTCGTTTCGCTGTAATTGGCGTGAAATTCTTCATTTCGCACTTAAAAACATTAACTCCACTCTCCCAAATAGCCAAATCCAACGGCTACAATTTCACTTCCCTATAACTAGGGTCAGTCACCCCAATACTCGCTTTTAAAAAAGGAGAAATGCTAGTGGCAGTTGAGCCCCTAGCATTCCTCTTAAATCTCCTTTATAGACCAAAAGTCGTTCCCCGTTTTTTGTATTTTTTTCCTTCTCTCTCGAAAGGAAAAGAAACCCTCGATTTCAGAAAGAGATTGCAAAATCGTCGAAGCTGGTATCGTCCGATGAAGCCCTATCCAACGGCTTCAATTCATCAGAAGAGGAGCGAATCGACGACCAGATCAACGACGACGAAGACGACGAAGAAGAGCTCAAAGCCGTTGCTCCCTCTGCCGCTGCCTCCGTCTAAGACGATGACGCCGCAGCTGATGATAACACTGACGATGCTGACGAGCTAATTTTTTTATTTTCCCCTCTTTAACGTGCTCTCTTTATTTTGCTTTCGAATTTTTACTATTTTGGTTGTCGGATCTAGCTTTTTGCTCGTTATTTCTAGTTTGGGTTTGCTAATGATCGTAGAATTTGTCTTTACACTTTTGAATAATTTTTGCTTCTATAGTTTTTAATAGGTTGCTGAGAAGCTTAATTTAAACTCTAATGTTATTTATATTTAGATTTTATGATGTTTGAGTCATTTCTTTTCTGTATAGGATAAGTCTAACGGGGCTGATAAGCAAGAAAAGGAGAGGCTAAAAGATATGTATAAACTGAAGAAGAAGGAGATTCAGGATATATTGGATGCTGAAAATGCTGCCATTGATGCTGATGGGGTGCATATTCTATGTAAAGGTTCGCATTCAGCTAATTTTAAGCGTAATATATGGTTCACTAATGTTTTGTTTCATGGCAGAATAAATGGCGGAAAGGGTGGTTGAAGTATGTTTTGCAGCAAACGGAGTTGTTTGCTAATTTTGCTAAAGTTGACCAATCCGACATCACAAAAGAAGGTGAAAGGAAGGTAATACATGTCTACTTGTTTTGCTAAAAATGTTAAACAAGATGATTTGTCTTGTTGGTGGTGTTTTCATGATATTACTGGTTGTAAGTGGCTGGTATTTTTTTCTAATTGGTTTTTAATGATTTTCATGGCAATGGTTTCTTTCACTTGTTAAATTTAGGCTCTGTCATGCATAAAAAATAACTGAAGATGAAGAAGATGAAGAGTGCCTCAAGGAATAAGTAGATGGTTTTTCCACTAATTATCGTATTCTTATTACGGGTACGTTGCTTCAGGTATGCATTGAAATGTTATTTGGTGGAAAGTAGTTACTAATTTGAGTAAGTTAAACTGATATATTTGAGTTTTATTTGTAACATAAGTCTCATTCCATTCATGCTGTCTGCTTACTGCACCGCAAATGCCTCAGCTATTTTCGGGTCCCATGCTTGCGACTATCAAGCACATATCCTGTTTTCTTGGTTGGATCAATTTTAGTTCCTAACTCAAACGATTTTGATGATCTTCGCCTTTTTATTTGTTTCTGCTACTTTATTTGTGGTTCTTGTAGCTGTGCTAAATTGGATTCATGGAAGCTTGGATCGATAGTGACAGCTTTCCCCATCTTGTTGTTTACTCGTAATCAAATTGTTTTAATACTTTATTGTCAGTTACATGTAATAATCCTGTTATCATCTTTTCTTGTGCAGAATAATCTCCATGAGCTTTGGTCTCTTCTCAACTTTTTTACTGCAGGAGATTTTTAGTTGAGCTGAAAATTTTGATGAGTGGTTTCAGATTTCTGGTGAAAATGACCAGCAAGAAGTTCAATAATTTCACAAGGCAAGTTAAAAATCTTCTCTACTCTTGCCAGGCCTGTGGGTTTGCACAAATAATTAACATTCTTCTGCATCTTTAGTTTCTTAGGCCATTTCTCCTTCGTAGGTTGAAATCAGATGTTGAAAAAGGTTTGCCTCCCAAAAAGGAAACCATCCTGAAAGTAGGACTGTCCCAGATGCAGAAACACTAATCCAGGGCTTTGCTGCTAAAAGATCTTGAAGTTGTTAATGCTGGTGGACAGCTTTAGCAGCTTCTGAACGATGCGATGCGGCTCTGTAAATGCTGTAATCATCCATATCTTTTCCAAGGTGCTGAACCTGGACCTCCATACACTACAGGATAGCATCTTGTAACCAATGCTGGTTAAGTTTACAGGCAGATATTGGATCCATAGAAAACTGACCTCACTGATTTATTTCCAGGTACAATGTTCTCTTGGACAAATTACTTCCAAAGCTGAAGGAGCCTGATTCGAAAGTTCTGATATTTTCACAGGTAATCTTGAGGGTTGCCTAGAATTTATCTAATTTATATGTAGATTTCAGTGTAGTGTATATGAAATGTGTCAGTTATCGGTCTAGACATTTCACCATGTTAATCTTCTATTTTTGTTTGCATCATTTATAATACACTTGTTTTTATTCGGTTCCCAATTCTTATTTGTGATTTTTCTGTGGGAATTTATTGTACGCAGATAACAAGGCTGCTGGACAGGATTGTGCTCATAGGATCGGTCAAATGAAGGAAGTTCAAGCGTTCGGTTTTTGCAAGGAGGTTTGACAATTGTCTTTGTTTGCCAACGGTCCAGAAGTTGCCTATGCTCGGATAGGCTCATTTGTTCGTTTATTATGAAACCGTACACTGTGGACACGTATTTAGTACCGGGGTATTTAAAATTTCTGAACTTGTCGTTTGTTCGCTGATAAGAATTGGGCTTAAAATAAGAGTTTAGATTGATCTATTTAAGTCTGAGTTGTATTTTTGGGCCATGATACTTTGGGGCTTTTTTTTGGGCCATATTATTTTTGATTGACGAAAAGCTTAAATTTTTTTTTTTTGATTTTATTTCATTTGTTTCTGTAAAAATACTATAAAAAGATAAAAACGAAAAAGAAAAAGGGGGCAGAAACAATAAATATTAAAAAAAAAGATAAGGAAAGTTTTGAAATACGTGAAAATCTAGATTAGAAATTGTTATCAGATTAATGGATATGTAAATTTAAATCTTCAATTTAATTTATACAGAGACTTAAAACTTTATATAAACCCAACGATAGCAACATCAAGGGGGCGGAAAAAACTTGGGAGGAAAATATGGAGATAACAGTAGCAAATCTACGTTGGCAGTTTGGTTTTTAGTATTTGGGTTTTGGATATCTTTGGGGAGTACGAGTAGGATACACAGAAAATGGGGTGGAAATAGGGAGAAGAGATACAAAAAAGAGGTGGAAGTTTGACAGTGGGCATTCTAATTTGGGGAATTATTGGAGGAAAACAGCAGCCAATTCGTGCAGAGGGATTCAGTAGTTTGCTGTTAGCATTTAGGTTCTTGAAATCTTCAAGGGAAATAGAGCAAACCCTGAGGCAATACAAAGGGAAAAGGAGCTTAAATTTTGGTAGTAGAGAAGTTTTGTTTTGAGTTTTAAATTTTTGGAAATTCTTTAGGTATGTGATGTTGAGGTCGGTAGAGATTCTAGGACGAAATAGGTTTGTTATACTGAGACAAAAAATATATATATATATATATATTTATACAAAAAAAAAAAAAGAAATAGGAAAGTAAAGGCGAAACAAGTTTAATAAACCAAACAAAGTGAAGGTGCAGTAATTTTTCCTTTTAGTTTAGTTTTCCATAACTGCATTAAGGGTTGTGTTAATACTGAAATTTTGGTTCACGATATCAGGCCTCTCTTGAGCCGAGGGTGTCTCGCCATTTTATCGTAATTTGGTCTATTTCATCAATTTCTGGATAATTCAATCAATTTTCGTTCAAAATTAGCAGATTTGAGCTCCATTCTTTGCTTTTTGGAGGCTATTGTACTTCTCTTAAACTGATTCTGCTTGTGATTGTTCCTAATTTCAGCCAATTCCAAAGAATTGTTACTATGCTATGGGGGAAAGATGGCTCTGTGAGTGTTACACCGACAGGCAAATTTGTTCATCCTTCAATTTACATCAAATCAAGATCGCGATAGGTTTATCGAGTTAGGTCCATGGCATATCCAGAATAAACCTATTATAGTTCGGAAATGGGAGCCAGGAATGAAAACGTTGGAGTTCAGGATGGATAGGCTGCCTATGTGGATACATTTGAGTAATGTTCCATTGGAATTGTATTCAGAGAAGGGATTGAGCTACATTGCTAATGGTCTTGGGAACCCATTGAATCTCAGCAAATCGAGAGAGATTAGCTTATGCAAAAATCTGTGTAGAAATGGAAGTTGATTGTGGATATTCCCTGATTCATAGACGTCATTCTTCGAGATGGCACTATTACTTCAATCTCAGGGGATGTAACATGGTCAGGGACGGATTCTAGTTTAGTGGGAGTAAATTATTAGGTAATATTTATTTACAAATTATTATAACCTAAAATGATTTTTATTAAAATATAATGTCAAATATTTCTAAAAATATAAAATAATAAAAATATTTTTAGAAAGTTATAAAATATTAAAAAAATCATTTTTATATAAAAATTAGTTATAAAAAATCACATTTATTTGTCTTAGTTGTGCCACACTAGGTAGAATATTAAAACTTACATAATTATAACAATTGAATAAACAAATTATAAATTTAAACATATACACAAATATATTTATTAAAGGAATTATATAATATTACATAATTAACAAGTTTATCGAATAAGTTGGATTAAATATGACATGATACAGCATGTTTTGTAACCCATTAAAAAGTCATTCTAACAAAATCAAAAAGTATAGTAAAGAGATAAATTTTATATTTATATTTTGAATTATTAACTTATTCAATTACTTTTTTTATTTTGTTAATATATTCATATACATTTCAATATTATAAAAGATCCATGCTTTTTATTTTTTTTACATTTAGTGGGGATAAAAACAAAAAAAATAAAAAATTAAGTTTATTTCTAATAATCCTACTTGTTATTTTGAAATTTTAGTGGGGACAAAATACAATAATCATTTATATTTGGGATCTTTTACTAATAGAAATATTCAAGTTTCAAGATGCTGCCCCCACCCTAGATCCGTCTCTGACCATGGTCGCCTCCTTAGTGTTAGCATTGTAGAGCTTTTGGACATAATGATAAGGATTTGCCCACATAAGCCTGAGGTAGTTGTAACAAAGACTTGGTAGCCAAAGAAAGAGGTTTCAGGGCAGCAATAACTGCAAAAGAGGTGGATATTACAATGAAGAAATGTTCAACTTCAGAAGTGAGGGTGCAGGAAAAATCAAGCTCCATAAACAGATTTGCCATTCTTAGCATTGTAGAAGAGGGGGAGAGGGATAAGGATATTAGATCTGAGCTTGTTGATTCCCGAGAAGGCAAGGAGGAAGAGATTGGTTGCAATTCACCAAGGAAAGTAAGAGTAGCATCTGCTGGGGTGGCTGAATTAATGAAACAGCTTAAGAGCAAGAAGAAAAGGCCTATAGATAAAGGAAAGAATAAGGTTAAGGTAGATCACACTACTTCAGGAGGTCAAACCTCCTCCATATCTTCATGAATCTCCTCATATGGAATGTCAAAGGGCTTAATGCTTCTTTGAAGCAAATGGAAGTAGTAGGTAGAATTAGGAGATTAAGAATAGATGTTGTTTGTTTGCTGGAAACTAGAGTAAAGCAAGAAAATATGGAGCCAATCTTGAAGAATCATTTCTCTGGCTGGTTTCATTTTCACAATTATGGTTATGCTTTCAATGGAAGAATTTGGTTACTCTGGAAATCTGAGTTGCACGTTGAACTAACAGAGGCTACAGACTAAAGTATAACATGTTGCATAACATCTGAAATTGGTAAGTTTTATCTGACTTTCAATTATGGAAGCAACAACGAGGTTGAAAGAAGGAAACTCTAGATGCATCTACACTCCCTTTATGGCACCTTGCAGCTTTGTCCTTGGGCTCTGGCTGGTGACTATAAAGTAATAGCTCATCCATCAAAGTGTTGGTTCTAAAGAGTTTCAGAAATGCATGCAGGACTTGTCCCTTACAGATCACCGTTTCACCGGTCCTTTATTCACCAGGGGCAATTATAAAATTTTTAGAAAGTTAGATAGAGTGCTTATCAATGATATTCGGTTGACTAAAGCAGCAGATTCAATGGTAGAGTTTCTGGCCTCTGAAGTCTCAGACCATTACCTAGCTTTACTCAAGACGAACGTGCCGCGTCAAAGTCCACCAAAGCCATTTAAGTTTTTTAACTTTGGGGCAAAGCATCCTGATTTCTTGAAGTTGGTAGAAGAATCATGGCAGCAAACAGTGGAGGGAAACCCCATGATTAGATTGTATAGAAAGCTCAAACGGTTAAAGACAATTCTGAGGCAGTTTAACTTTTCTCAATTTGGTAATTTGGTTGAGAAAGTTGAATTCAAGAGGGAGAAGTTGGCAAAGGTGCAAACTGCCAACCTGCTACAATCTTCTAGTGCAGATATTGAGAAGAAGAAAAAGCTCATCCAAGAGCTACATGAGCTTTTTCAAGCAAAAGAAAGTATGTTGAGACAGAAATCACGAATCAGATGGAAATAGGAGGGAATTCAGAATTCAAAGTTCTTTTCACAAGATAGTGACCACTAAGCAGAGGAGAGATGCCATAAAGATGCTTTATGATAGCAAAGGGAATAGGCTAGAAACATTCTCACAAATTTCTGCAGAGGTTGTGGGATTTTTTGAGAAATTGTTAGGAACGATGGATGTGCAGGTAACAGGATGTTCACAGGGTTATTAACTGAAATATTACAGGACACCTTGTAAGAAGTGGGCAAAACCAACGTATCACAGAATGCTACCAGAAATGAAATTTTGGATGCAATGTTTTCCCAACAGAATGATAAGGCACCAAGCCCTGATGGATACAATGTATACTTCTTTAAAACTACCTGAAGTATCGTTGGGGAGGACATAATTAAAGCCATATGTATTTCTTTCAGCATGGTAACTTGTTACCTGCATTCAACTCCACCACATTAGCGTTGGCACAAAAAAGTTAATCCCTCTTCAATATATCCGACCATAGGCCTATTTCATGTTGTTCTATAATTTACAAGTGCATCATCAGAATCTTAGCCAGCAGATGGCAAAAGTGTCTGCCATCTCTCATTAGTAGCAGCCAAAGTGCGTTTATAAAAGGAAGCATAACAGATAATGTACTCTTGGCTCAAAAGCTAGTTAGGGGGTACAACAGATCTTGCCTCTCCCCAAGATGTGCAATAAAGATTTACTTGACGAAAGCTTGATTCATTAAGCTGGGATTTTCTATTATCTGTTTTGTTGGCGATGGGATTCCCAAGGAGATTTTAGGCTGGGTTCAATGCTGTTTAACAACACTAAGGTTCTCTTTATCTATAGAGGCTTGGTAGGCTATTTTTCAAGTGCAAGAGGAGTAAGACAAGGGGACCCTATTTCACCATATCTTTTTGTAATTGTAATGAATGTTCTATCAAGATTATTGGATATTGCAGCAACTCATGGGGTTTTTTCATATCATCCTAAGTGCAAAAATTGACCCATATGTGCTTTGCTGATAATCCGCTCATCTTCACCAAAGGAAATTTGGAGTCTATCACTGGTGTTCAGAGCATTTTGCAGCTATTCCACTCCTTTTTTGGTCTTCAACTCAATAGCACAAAAAGTGAGGTATTTAGTACAGGTGTTCCAAGAACAGAATTGCTAAGTATGTTACAGGCAACGAGGTTTAAACATGGAACATTTCCTGTAAGATATCTTAAAGTTCCATTAGTCACACGAAGACTTACTATTAAGGACTGTACACCATTAATAGAGAGGATCACAGCAAGGATAAATAGTTGGGTATCTAAACATTTGTCTTATGCAAGAAGATTGCAGTTGGTACTTCAGTCCTTTTCAGGATGCAAAACTATCAGTGCAGACACTTTGTGCTTCCCCAGAAGGTCATAAAAAAGATTACTTAGCTATGTTCAAGTTACTTTTGGAAGGGATATTCAAGTTCAGCTAAAGGAACTAGAGTAGGATGGCAACGCATATGTAGACCTAAGTCAGAAGGGGGTCTTGGTTTAAAGGAGCTCCTAACTTGGAATTGGAGTCAAGCATGCATTCTGCGGCACCTATGGTCGTTGTTCACCAACTGGCTCACTTTGGATAGCATGGATAAACTGTTATGTATTCAAAGGGAAAAGTTTGTGAGAGATACTTATTGCTCAAAATAGTAGCTGGTGTATTAGAAAAACTACTTCAGCTAAGATGTATTGCTGTCAGGTTCTTGGTGCCAACAGAAGATGGCCCATGTCTGGAACACAAGTGGCCTGAATTACTCTATTGATAAGGTTTGGGAAGAGGTAAGGCCTAAACAAGCAAAGGTAGAATGGCACGACTCCTCTGGTGTCAATTTCATGTCCCCAAATGTGCTGTTGTTGCTTGGATGGCTATTCTTAATAGACTCCCAACAAAGGATAGGCTGACTAAATGGAGGATTGCTACTGACAGAAGATGTGTTTTCTGCAAGTAAGAAAGTGAAAGTAGGAATCATATTTTTCTTTAGCTGCAATTATTCAAAGGCTGTGTGGAAGTAGGTTTTGCAACTTTGTAATCTAAGTAGAGAGGTAGTTAGCTAGGAAAATGAGTTTAAGTGGGCAGTAGAGAAACTCAAGTAGAAATCACTTATCTCTATCCTACTTAGAGTTGCTTGGGAAGCATATCTATACATGATATGGAAGGAAAGGAATCAAAGACAATTTAACAATGTAGAATGTGCAAGGGAGCGGATTGTGAAACAGGTCAAGGATATGGTCAACTTCGATTGTGGGGATTATACAATATTGCATTTGATGAAGTTAAGAAAACATTATGTTCGAGATGAGATCTAAAAAGAGAAAATTTGCATTATAATTTGAAGTACCTAAAATTGTTGTATAATTCATTGGTAGTAGTGAATCCACTGCTTATGAGACAATAAAATTACAAATTATCCAAAAAAAAAAAAGTTTAATAAACCAACAAATTGACTTGGTGAGTTGTATTCTAAAAGCCCACGTGCATCAAACTTTGGTACGTTGCTTTCTTTTCTTATTTTATTTGTATCATTTATTTGTTTGCTTGCTCACTTTAATTCATGCATGATTATAGAAAAGTGTTAATAAAATATCTAAATATGATAAAAACTTAAATATGTTTTAAGTAAAATTAGCTTCTAAGTTTAATGGTTTTGTATATCTAAAATTACTTCTATCAAATTATTGAATGATTTTTATGAATTTAAAAAAAAATAGATTTAAAAAAATCATATCAAACTATTAGAAGATTTTTAATTTTTTTAAAAAATAATAAATAAATGATTTTATTAAAAAATTTAATTAAGATTCATAAACAAAATAAAATAAAATAATTTTGAAAAAAATAAAATCTTATTAAAATATTAGAAGGTTTTACGAATTTCAAAAATTAAAATTTAAAATTAATCTTATCAAATTATTAAAAAAAATTTACTTAAAAAAAATAAAATCTTACCAAATTATTAAAAACTTTATAAATTTCAAAAATAAGTTTTAAAATTAATCCTATCAAATTATTAAAAAATTTTACTAAAAAATAAATTTTTTTCATACTATTGAAAGGTTTTATAAATTTCACAAAATAAAACTTTAAAAAATAATCATTATGTATTGGCTTCCTTGATTTAATAAAATTCTAGTATTGGCTAAAAAAAAATTTAATATCTGTAAAAGAAGTTGAACAAAATTCAATTTAGTTATTTGAGCACATCAAATCCACAGCTAAAAAAAAATTTAATATCTGTAAAAAATGAACAGGTCATTGTAAAGTGAAGTATTGATCATCAGCAATGACGTATGGATAAGAGAAGTTGCAAATTTCAATCCACATTGGCACACGAACAAAGTTGAAAACCTTAAAAAATCAAAACTGATAAAATAAGACAAAACAAGAACATAAAAAAAGCTCTACTTGTATCTAAAACGCTACAAACACACATGTCGTCTTTTCATGTGGGATCAACTGTGCTTCAATTATTATTGTAGCTATTTGCGCCGCTGCTGCGTATATAACTATTTCATGCACCTTTCTTTTGATCATGATGAAGCACCAAGCGTGCGGGTGTTTTATTATTATTACTTTTATTAAGAAAATAAATAGATATTATGGACCTTAAAAAAATGTAATATCTATTATTAAGTCTTAAAAGAGAGAGCGAGAGAGAGAGAGAGAGAGAGTTGTTATCTGGGTGACGTTTGATTGAATTGATTAAAGGTCAAAGTTGAAGGCCACTTCATTTGACTGCAGCTTCCCGAAAGTTTCCATCAAATCATAGCATTCTCAAGCGATGCAGTGGGATATTATAAGCATGAGAAAAAAAGTTGTTTGGAGTCATATTCGGTCGACTACGGACAAGTAATCTAGTCAAAGAAAAAAAAAAAAAAACGACAATGATAATGCCAATGATGCATAAAACTGAACCTACACTTGGATCATTGGCACCGTGCACAAAATCTCCCAAACGTAAGAAAGTAGACAAGACAAAGCAAGAATCAACGTCATGTTCATTCTCCACATTTTAAGCTAACAAATTCTCTTCTTTTTTTTTTTTTTTCCAGATATAATATGCTTATCATAAAAGAAGTTGGAAATTTCGCAGAAATAGTTTCAGGGGCCAAGGCACCATTAAATAAATTTGAAAACCTTTAACATTGTATTTATTTATATTAAATAAATTTAAATTAATCTCTCCCAAATGAAAGTTGTTAATTTTATTTATTTTTATGGTTTTATAAGTTGCAAGTTAAAAAAAAATAAAAAATCATATTAATTTTTAGCGTTTATAGCAAATGCATGCCAAACTAATTTATAGGAACGTTTAAAAATATCATACATTGCTGGATATATATATATATATATATATATTAGAAAGCTTCATTGAACCTAATAATTTATAAGTAATATAAGCAGCAATGATAAATAAAAACTTAAAAATATTCTTCATAAATTACATATAAGTAAGTAAACATCCATTATCTCTTATGAATCATGCCTATCTTTCGAGTTTTCCTTTAGATATGCAAAATAATTTTATTTATCATTCACAAAATGTTTAAATTATTTTGTTCCTCATTCTAATTTTCGCCATTGAAGTCTTTCATCTCCTACATTTCTATTTTGAGGCTTCGGAAATTTTTAGCGTTTTAATTAGTTTATCTTTGGGTTTAAGCGTGGCAGGCATATTCACTTTTATTCTATTTTGATACACGATGAAGAATCTGATGAAGAATCCCATTCCACTCCGTAGAGGTGTATCACGTGATTCCATCATCTATGTACATAAAATATAATCGTTTCATTCGGTGGGTCTTGCCGTCTTGTCAGATTGGAAAGCTGGTAATCCTCACCTACAACATATAAAACAAAATTACCCTTATGCCCATATCAAACCAAACTCAGTGGGTTTTTTTTTCTTCCTTTTTTCGTCCTGCCACTGCATATTGCTGTCTATAAATATATTAAGCCAGTTATTTCCATTTCATTAGAGAGAAATTACATTGTGCTTTATAGCTTCATCAAAAAATGGAGGCATATAACACTTCATCATCAACAACAACAACATGGGGTGTTACTGTTACCACCACCGAAACCTTCAAGTTTAAGGGGAAAGGGGCAACTATAGCTTTGCTTTTGTTTGCCATGGCTGCACTTGTCATAACCTCAATCATATATAAATGCATGGGAGCCTGCCGAAATGGTGCTGAAGTTGATGTCCAGGGCGACGTAGAGCTAGCAGCTCGAGACTCATAACGTATGGATAATCGAAAACTTATAAAAGGAATATCTAAGTAATT